TAGATAGACTCACTTCACCTCCTCGCACAATCATAAGAACGATAACAACCAACCTAAAAACAAAAAACAATTAGAACTGCCAGAAAAGTGAACTGTATGGAAGTCTGACAACCAACAATTTAAAGAAGAAACATTCATATAGATGGGTAGGAGGGGTGGGGAGGACTGGTGTGGCATAGTGAGAGGGTGGTGGCCAGAGGAATGGGCAGTACCACATTCATGTGTAGTGGATAAAAACTGGGAGGGACAACTCGGGAGCCAGCATTCCCAGCCCCACGCCAGACTGCTTAGCCCAGAGTTCCAGTGCCAGGAAAATACGGTTTCATAAACTCTAACTATAAAACCAGTGGGTGCTGAGGGGACAGAATAAACTGCCAGTCACTCTGGAGAGTCTGTTTAAAGGGCCCACAGGGCCCTAGAACATTGCAAACCCACCCCCTCGGAGAAGCAGCGCAAGGGCAGCGGCTAGAAGGGCACCAGTCACTTACGGGAAATGACTGGAAACAGGGCAAGAGCCAAGCAAGAAGCATTGTTCCCTCTCTGACCACTCCTCCACATATAGAGCCACAAAGTGGCAAAGCCAGTTGCACCACCCTGGGGAATACCTAAGGCTCCACCCCTTACAACACAGTAGGTCTGCCAACAGGGAGTCAAAGCAACTCTACCTAATACACAGAAACACAGGGAGGCAGCCAAACTGAGGAGACAAAGAAACATGGCCCAAACAAAAGAACAGAACAAAACTCCAGAAAAAGAACTAAGTGACATGGAGATAGCTAACCTATAGATGCAGAGTTCAAAACACTGGTGATCTGCATGCTCAAAGAAATGATTCAGTACGGCTACAAAATAAAGTAAGAAGTGAAGGCTATACAAAATGAAATAATGAAAAATACACAGGGAACTAACAGTGAAGAGAAGGAAGCCAGGATTCAAATCAATGATTTGGAACAAAAAGAAGAAATAAATTTTCAACTGGAATAGAAAGAAGAAACAAGAATTCAGAAGAAACAAGAATTCAGAAGAACCAAAATGGCGGAGGAGTGAGTGAAAGTCACACTGACCTCTTCCCAGGACCAACTTGGAATTACAACTAAATTGTGGAGAAATCACCCGGAACAAGCAACTGAACAATACTGAGAGAGGAGCCTTATAACCTTGGACAGACAGAAGAATTAGCTTTAGCACAACCTAACTAGTAAGGAGTGTGGCACACACTCAAGAAGGTGGGTGGGATGCCCATGGCTGGCAGCGCCAGAAGGATAGTGAAACAGCCAGTTGGATACTCCTGAGAAGAGTAGGGTCTACACCATAAGTGAGCAGCTGACTTCTCAACAGAAACATTACAAGCCAGAAGAGAATGGCAAGAAATATTCCAAGTATTGGAAAGCAAAGGCCTGCAACCAAGACTGCTCTACCCAGCAAGGCTCTCAATTATAATAGAAGGTGAAATAAGGAGGTTCCCTGATAAAATAAAGGTAAAAGAATACATCTCCATCAAACCAGCGCTGCAAAATATGCTAAAGGGACTGCTTTAAGAAGATAAAGAAAAAGAGCCTATGAATACCCAATTCCTTTCACGGTCACCAAGACTTGATATTACCAATATTTTTTAATACTTATTAATCTGATTGTGACAATTCTATATTTTAATTGTTCCTTTATTATTTGTTGAAACTAAACCTGTTTTTGTAGATTTCTTGCCTATTTCTATTATTTTTAAAAAGCTTTAAACGACTTTTTGGTATTCTTTAGCCATTTTTTGATTAAAGGTTTGTAGAATTTTTTCCCTAAAAACAAACCCTATTAACTCTGTTTCAGATGTGCTGCAAATACTTTCCTATTCTATTACTTGTCCTTTAACTTTTTTTATAGGTATATTACTATATAGTCTTAAATGTTTAATATAGTCATATTGTCAATATTTTACTTTGTAGCTTCTGGGTTTGAATATGTTATTTCAGAATAATATTATTTTCAATTTTCTCAGAAAACTCCTTAGATTTTAACATATTGATTTTTAACTCACCTGAATATTTCTTATATAATGTGTAAAATAGGGCTCTATATTGGTTTTATTTCAAGTAATTGTGGTCTATGCAATTTATTTGTTGAATAAGCCTTATTTTCCCCATTGATTTGAAATATCAATTTAATCATATGTTACACTGTTAGACAGATATATATATATACACATTTGTTTCTAGAATGCTCATTTTATTTCATTGATCTACTTGATTATTTCGCTGCTGGTGTCATGTTATTTTAATTGCTGAGACTTTATAATGGATTTAAATTTTTTAATATTTTATAATGGATCTTGACATTTAAAAAAGTAAATAAATAGAACCAGTCTGCATCTAAAACAAAGAAAGAAAGAAAGAAAGAAAGAAAGAAAGAAAGAAAGAAAGAAAGAAAGAAAGAAAGAAAGGAAGGAAGGAAGGAAGGAAGGAAGGAAGGAAGGAAGGAAGGAAGAAAGAAAGAAAGAAAGAAAGAAAGAAAGAAAGAAAGAAAGAAAGAAAGAAAGAAAGAAAGAAAGAAAGAAAGAATCTCCTACCTTTTGCAACAACATGGATGGAACTGGAGAATATTATGCTAAGAGAAATAAGCCAGTTGGTGAAAGACAAATACCATATGACCTCACCTATAAGTGGAATCTATTCAACAAAATAAACTAAGAAACAAAATAAACTACAGGCAAGGAAACATGGAGCAGTCTGAAAGTGACCAGAGGGGATGGGGAAAGAGGACAATGGTGGAAAGAAGGAGAAGGAGCTAAACAAAGAACATGTATGAATGACCCATGGAAATAGAAAACAGAGTGGGAATTGACTGTGGGGGAGGGGGGAGGGGGGTGGGTGGAGGAGGGCAAAGGGGGAAAATTGAGACAACTGTAATAGAATACACATGATTTAAAAAAAGAAAGAAACAAGAATTCAAAACAGACAAAAAAATGAGGAGAGGCTTAGGAACTTCTGGGATAACTTTAAACCTACAAACATCTGAATCATAGGGGTGGGTACCGGAAGGAGAAGAGGAATAGTAAAAAAATTGAAAACTTATTTGAAAAAATAATGGAAGAAAACTTCCCCAATTTGGTGAAGGAAATAGACATACAAGTCTAGGAACCTCAAAGAGTTCCAAACAAGTTGGACTCAAAGAGGACCACACCAAGATACATCATGATTAAAATCCCAAACGTAAAAGATAAAGAGAGAATCTTAAAAGCAGCAGGAGGAAAGCAGAGAGTTACCTACAAAGGAGTTCCCATAAGACTGTTAGTTGATTTCTCAAAAGAAACCTTACAGGTAAGAAGGGACTGGCAAGAAGTACCCAAAGAGATGAAAAATAAGGACCTACATCGAAGATTACTCTACCCAGCAAAGCTATCATTGAGAATTGAAGGGTAGATAGAGTGCTTCCCAGAAAAGGTAAAGTTAAAAGAGCTCATCATCACCAAGCCCTTATTATATGAAATGTTAAATGGACTTATCTAAGAAAAGAAGAAGATCAAACTATGAACCGTAAAATGACAACAAACTTACAACTATCAATAACTGAACCTTAAAAAAACAACAAAAACAAAAACAAACTAACCAAACAACTAGAACGGGAATAGAATCACAGGAATGGAGATAACATAGAGTGTTATCAGCTGGGAGGGGGAGGCAGTACCATGGGGGGAAAGGCACATGAAAGAAGCATAATTGGTAGGTACAAAATAGACAGGGGGAGGTGAAGAATAGTATAGGAAATGGAGAAGCCAAAGAACTCATATGTACAACCCATAGATATGAACTAAGGGGTGGGAGGAATGCTGGAGGGAATGCGGGTACTGGACAGAGCAGGGCAAATAGAAAAAATGGGACAACTGTAATAGCATAATCAATAAAACATACTTAATAAAAAATAAATAAAATAAATTGATACTCATGAAATGCAAAGATTAATTGCACTTGTGAGGTACGTGAGGTTATTTGAGGTTGCTGGGTAGTTTTACTCACACATCTATTTTGTATACTAGACTTTTGGGACTTGAAGCTCCATGCTGTTCTGGACCCATATTACTTGATATGGAAACACACTTTCAAAATGAATTTTTATGAATAAGTGAAAATTTTTAAACATATTTAATTGGTAGGTATGATAACACAAAAGAACTAAAATATCTCCTATAATTTTGATAAATAGTTTTCAATTTGGTTTCAGGCCTTGGTGCAATCCTAACCAAGGAGATAACAATTTCATTATTGAGTGAGACTAAATTTTTTTTATTCTGTACAATTACTTTGAGATTCATCCCATGTTGTAGCTGACATAACAAGACCTTTTTAAGTAAATCTTATATTTATGGTTTTATTTTTATTTATTTAATGTCCAGCACTGGTTGCAGAGGAGGTTTCATTTTTATTTTATTTTGCATTTTTTTGTTAAGTACAGTTTTCTCCATTTTCCTGCTACCACTTTCACCTGCCCCACCCACCCTCACCTCCCACCCTCAATCCTTCCCCCTTTTGGCTCTGTATATGGGTCCTCTATACATGTTCCTTGATGACCCTTCCCCCTTTTTCCCTTCATTATCCCCCTCCCCTCTCCCCTCTGGTTACTTTCAGTTTGTTCTTTATTTCCATGTCTCTGGTTATATTTTGCTTGTTTGTATGGTTTTTTTTTTTTTTTTACAAATAATTGGTATAAGAGTGTAATATTTACAATATTATAAAAATGTGAGAAGACTATATGTGAATATTGATTTCATAGTTGGTAAAATACATAAAATATTGATGAACCCAAGCAGAAGTTCATTTAGAAATTTTTATTAGCATTAGGGGTTAAATTTACAGATGCTGTGAAATCAAAGTTGTACATACACTGTGAGACATTCAAGAATTCTGACTGATGCTAAAATGACAGAGAGAAAACAGTGAAGTAAGTAGTGAATAGAAAATGGTCTAATAATCTCCCCATGGATCATCAGGTATTTTTGAGAGGAGTTTGATTACTCAGTGTATAGGAGTCTTAACAGAATCATAAGTCCATTTCTTCCTGAAGAACAACTTCTGAAGCACACCTGGCATCTCGTAGCCCTTGCTTATAATGAAGTCTTTAAAGGTGATTGGTCCATAAAGATCATCAATAATGTCCAGTTCAAGATGTCTTCCATAGCGCCAATATTCCTCTTCTTGTAAGACCTTGGGGTCAATCAAAGGTTCATCATTTACTAGCTTTTTCCAGGTTTTGGGGTTCAGATACCATGCTCCATACCTTATCTTCACCTGCTTGGGTTTATTCGGATCAGGTGGTTTCCTGAGTTTCCTCTCCCAGTTCCATTCCCCTAGGGAGAACTGTCTTGTCTCAATGTCATCTAGCTGTTTGGTGTAGTTTAGCTCCAAAGGGATCTCAGTTACTTTCTTTATTTTGCCTGTACTATGGGTGGGTGTTCACTTGTAGTCAATTTCAAACAGTTTCATGATGAACTCTTCAATAATGCCCATATCTCCAAAAGTATTAGTCCATCAGCAGAATTCATTAACTTCTCTCCGTTCATTTTTGTACATCACAGGACCTTTGGGGAAACCCTTTCTGCTTGACATCTTTTTTTTTTCCTTTCCTCGCAAATTAACCTGTTTAAATATGACAAGAATGACTCCCTGGGAGCTCTCGGGTTGTCTTGCTCCGGAGGTCCCGAGGTGACTTGGCTAGGAGATTCCTGGTTGTCTTGCTCAGGAGGTTCCGGGTTGACTTGGCCAGGAGGTTCCTGGTTGTCTTGCTCAGGAGGTCCCAGAGTGACTTCGTCAGGACATTCTCCATCAAGCTTTCTAGGACATTGTCGACCAAGCTTTCTGGGGGACTTCTTTCTGAGCCTCGTGCCCTCACGTTCAGCCCAGGCGGCCTCCAGCTCCCCTTCAGGGTCGAGCAGCTCCAGCAGCTTGGCTAGGAGGTCTGCAGGCAGACTGTCCTTCAGCTCCGGGTAGGGAGCCAACGGATGTTGGCTCAGGCTGGCTTCGATCTGCTCTACGTAAGCTTTCCGTGCTCGCTGGGCTGCCGAGAGCCTGGAGAGCAGTTCCGCCCCCTTGGGCAGCTTTCCTTGAGTATTTCTCGGGGGAGGCCGGGGAACTCGATGAGCAATCGTGGGGAGAAAGCCCTCCCGACGGCCCCGAACGGTCGCAGTATCCGCGCTCGGGCGGCCCGCGCTGAAATCGCCCGCCCCGTCTCTCACGAATACCCAGCGCCGGCTGTCCAGGGCGGTGGGGCACTTCAGGAGCCTGTGCCTGTGCTTCGCCAAATAGCTGGGGGGTGCCGGCTCCTTGTCCCTGTACCAGCGCTTACAGTGCGGGCCCTGGGGCACCGGTTCCAGGGGCTCCGGCCCGAACAGCCGGTCCCTGTTCAGCCGAGGCAGGGGCGGCCTCTTCTTGTCCGCCATGGTGCCGCTGGCCCCAAGGCGACCGGCGACGTCCGGGCTTTGTGTCCCGCGCCGGTTGCTAGGAGACCGGTACGCGCCGCTGCCGGACTCTTTCCGGGCGCTGGGCCAGGGCGGGCTCGCTGCGCCCCGCGGCGTCCTCCCAAGATGGGCCGGGAAGACGCACTGCAGGCTCTGTCGTGGTAGAGAACTGTTGCAGTGAACGGACACCCCACGGTAGGCTTATCCACCCACCTTTGGGTGAACTTTTGGGTTGTTCCCCGTTGGAACCTGTTGCAAATCAAGCTGCCACAAACACTTCACGTATTCATGTCTGTGTACACACACTTTCATTTCTCTTGGGTGAATTTTAGCTAGGAATTGAATGGTGGGAGCCTATGATACCTGGGGTTTTTCTTTAATATATGTGCTCACAGCTATCCAGTTTTAATATTGGCCCAAATATGGGTGAGGTGAGTGAGGCATTCCCCTTGGGTATAAAATTTAAGGTGGCTCCAAAGGAAAAAAAACCCTCAGCAATCAAGATCACTTATGTTTTAAAGATAATCTCACCTATAAGTGGAACCTAGCAGACAAAACAAACAAATGAACAAAATAGAACCAGAGACATGGAAATAAGAAACAAACTGACAGGGACCAGAGGGGAAGGGAGGAGGGAGGAGGATAACGGGGAAAGCAGGGGAAGAGTCTAGTCAAGGAACATGTATAAAGGGCCCATGGTCATGGACAACAGGGAGGGGGCTGACGGGGCGTGGGGGATGGGCAGGGGCGAGCAATGGGGGAAAATGGGACAACTGTAATTGAACAGCAATTTAAAAGAATCAGAAAAACTGCCATGCTGAGCCATCTTAATGCCTGAGGACAAAGGATAGACCCATAATGCTACTGATCTGTCTTTATTTGAAACCGATGTTTTGTTCACTGTGGACTTTTGGAAGTAACTTTGTTTTGTTTAAATTTTTATTGAATTTATTGGGGTGACATTGGTTAATAAAATTATGTAGGTTTCAAGTGTGCAATTCTGTAATACATCATATGTACATTGTACTGGGTGTTCACCACCTAAAGTTGATAGGTGTTGGTTTAAATTTTAAGAAACTACCAACCTTTTTCAAAGCGGTTGTAGTATTTAATATTCTTTCCAGTAGTGCATGAGAATTGCACTTCCGGCACATACCCCCCAACACATGGTATGGTTGGTTAGTCATTTTAATTTGGGCTATTCAAATAGATGTGTAGTTGTAGCTCATTGTGGATTTAATTTGCATTTTCCTCATACTAGTGTTGAGCATCTATTTACATGCTTATTTGCCATTTATATCTCTCCTTCGGTGAAGTGTTCAAATTTTTTGTACAATTTAAAATTGTATCACTTTTTATCTCATTGAGTCTTTAAAAAAATTTAGAGATGGGGAAAAGGAAGGAGAAAGAGAGGGAGAGAAATGATGTGAGAGTGAAACACTGATCAGTTGCCTCTCACATGTGCCCCAAACAGGCCTGCACCCAGGCACGTACCCTGACCAAGAATCGAACCTTTTGCTTTGTGAGCTGATGCTCAACCAACTAAGCCAAGTCAGTCAGGGCTCTCATTGAGGCTTGAGGGTTCTTTGTGTATTCTGGATGGAAGTATATGATTTGTACAATTTTCTCTCCATCTATGGCTTGCCTTTTAACATCTTAACAGTCTTTCAAAGAGCTAAGTTTTTATGTTTGATGAAGTCCAATTTATCAATTTGTTCTTTGATGGGTTGTTTTCTGTGTTGTAGCTAAGGAAACTTTGCCTAGCCAAAGGTCATAAAGGTTTTATTTTTATTTTTTCCATTCTGCTAAAAGCTTTATAATCTTAGGTTTTACAGTTAGATCTGTCATCTATTTAAATTTAATTTTTTAGATGAGGTAAGATACAAGACAAGGTTTTTATTTTTATCTTTTGCCTGTGGATATCCAATAGTTCCAGATTTTCATTTGGAAAAGAGATTTCTCCACTGAATTCAGTACCTTTGTTACTTTGTAGGTGTAAGGTGTCTATATTTCTGGGGGTTCATTTCTGAACATTCTTTTCTGTTCCATTGATTTCTCTGTGTTATAACAATTCCATGCTATGTTAATTACAATTTACAATAAGCCTGAAATTAGACTCTATTAGTCCTCCATATCCTTTCTTCTTTTACAAAGTTGTTTTGATTCTTGTAGGTCCTTTGAATTTCCATAGGAATTTTAGAATCAGTTCATCAGTGTCTACTAAAAACAAAAGGCTTTTAGGATTTGATTAGGTTTCTGTGGAATCTATTGATATAAAGCAGTTTTGAGGTAATTGACATCTTAACAATACTGAGCTTTCTGACCCATGGGAAATGTTTATTTCTCCATTTAGGTATGTGTTCTTTCATTTATCTTGGCAAAATGTTGTAGTTGTTGATATATAAGACTTTCACAACTTTTACCTCTAGATTTTTCCCTAAATATTTAATGTGTTTGATACTATTGTGAGTAGTATTATATTCTTAATTTCCATGTTCTTTGTTAATATATAGAAATATAATTGATTTGTATATTGATCTTGTATCATGTAACCTTTGTAAACTCACTTTTTAATTCTAGTAGCCTCATTTATAGTCTGACAAATTTTCTGTATCAATAGTCATGACATCTGTTAATAAAGACCATTTTACTTCTGCCTTTTAAATCATAATAACTTTGTTATTATGAAGTGTAGGCCTTATAGGCCTGAAATTGTTGACTAGAAGTGATGAGAGTGGACATTTTATTCTCATTACTTATGTTACAGGAAAAGCCATTGAGTATGATGCTAGCTTTCAGTTTTTTGTACAAACTCTTTTTCTTTTTTTCTTTTATTTTCTTTTTATTGTTCAAATACATTTGTCTCCATTTTCCCACCACCACTTTCCCCTGCCCCACCCACCCCCATTATGCTAAGTGAAATGAGCCAGGGGGTGAAAGACAAATACCCTATGATCTCACCTATAAGTGGAACCTAATCGACAAAACAAACAAGTAAGGAAAATATAACCAGCAACATTGAAAGAAAAACAGAAACTGACTGCACATACCCTTTTTCAGTTTAAGTTCCCTCTTACTTCTAATATTCTAAGGCTTTGTGAAAAATACTTTGTGTCAGGTACTTGGATTGTGTCAAATGTTTTTTCTGCATCCATTAAGATGCTCATATGGCTTTTACTTTTTAGCTTGTTAAAACAATAAATTACAATGACTGATTTCCAAGTGGTAACAATACCTCAAATTACAGAGACAAATCCCACTTGATCATGTGGTATTATCTTATATATATACTGTTAGATTAGGCTTGCCAAAATATTACAAAATATGTTTTCATATATGTTTATGGGGTATATCTGGTGTCTCCTTCCCTTGAATTCCTTTCTTTAGCTTTTTTTCAGGGTAATACTGGCTTCATAGAATGATTTGGGAAGCATCTCACCCTCTTCATTTTTCTGGAACTGTTTGTTTAGGATTGGTATTATTCCTTACATATTTTGTAGAAGTCACCAGTGAAGCCATCTAGGCCTGAGATTTTCTTCGTGGGAAGGATTTTTAACTTCAAATTCAACCTCTTTAGTAGATATAGGGATATTCAGATTACCTAATTTTTCTTGAATCAGTTTGGTTAATTGTATGTTTCAAGTAATATGTTTTATCTATGTTGTCTAAATTATCGCTGTAAAGTGCCCATACTATTTTCTTGCTAGCCTTTAAATATCAGTGGAATATAGTCACCTCTTCTGTTGTTGATTTTTATAATTTGTATCTTTTTTCTTGTTTTCTTTTTCCCCTAATCAAACTGGCTAGAGAAAAATACATTTTATTGCTCTCTTTAAGGTAAGGGGGATTTTTTGTTCCATTGACTTTCCCCACTATTTTTGCTGTTTTCTACTTGACTGATTTTTCCTCCCTACTTTGAACTGTTTTTATGTTGCCTTTAATGATCTGTTCACATTAACATAGGCTTTTTCCAGCATGCACCTCAAAAGTCTTCTAGCCTCTACTCATCATCCGATTCCAAAGCTACTTCCTTATTTTTAGGTATTTGTTACAGCAACACCCCATTTCTTAGTACCAATTTCTGTCTTAGTCCTTTCAGGTTGCTATAAGAGAACACCATCAACTAAGTGACTCGTATACAAAAGAGATGTGTTTTTCACAGTTCTTAAGGCTGAGAAGTCCATGTTCAAGGTACAGGCAGATTTGGTGTCTGGTCCATAGACAGCCATCCTTTTATTTATTTATTTATTTACTTACTTACTTACTTATTTTTAGAGGGGAAGGGAAGAAAAGAGGGAGAGAAACATCAGTGTGTGGTTGCCTCTCACACCCCCGACTGGGGACACAGCCTGCAACCCAGGCATGTGCCCTGAATGGGAATCAAACTGGCGACCCTTTGGTTTGCAGGCTGGCACTCAATCCACTGAGCCACACCAGCCAGGGCAGACAGCCATCCTTTTGATGGGTCTTCCATGGCAGAAGGGGTGAAGGATCTCTCTAGGACCTCATTTATAGGTCACTAATTCCATTCATTAAGATCCACCCTGATGAACTAATCATTCCCCTAGCATCCTTATCTTCAGATACTGTCACACTGGAAATTACGTTTCAAATATGAATTTGGTGGCAACACAAACATTCAGCCTATAACATGTTGACCCTCATTAGTTTTTATATATTTTATAACCTTTATACTATTTTTTAAATTACTCCTGCTTAAAATTCTTCAGTAGATTTTTACTTATAAAAATCTTATGTATTTACCCATGTAATTCAATTCCATTATTCTTCACTCCTTTGTGTTGATCAATATTTCCATCTGGTATTTTCCTTTAGAGGAAAAGTAAAATGTACTGCACTATACTACATGTTCACTGATGATGAATTTGTTCTTCTCTTATATGTCTAAAACTTCCCTTATTTTGCCTTGGGTTTTAAAAAAGATTTTATTTATTTATTTTTAAAGAGACAGGAAGGGAGGG